GTAAAACGGCCACTTTCCATTTCCCCCCATGCGTTTTTTTCTATATAATTTAACTTTGTAAAACTGGCACCTGTCCAACTCGGCCGCGGCCATCATATTTTAACACACAGTCCCTATCACACCAAACAATAACACTTGTCTTAGACGTCACCTTAGTGACTCCATTACGTTTTGTCATAAATTGTGCATTGGCCCCTGGCGTTGTGGGGGGGGGGGGGGAGCCGTCATAATTAAATCACCTGTCGTTGTTTTTAATGTCCCTCCAACTCCAACAGATCATGTTGCGTAGGCCCCTCCCACTATTGACCAATAGGTAACAAATTTTCATCTACTGGTGGGGTAAGCGTGTGATCCCTCATAACCCATAAGCCCTGCCAAAAACTCAAACAAAAATTGTGAGATGAGTGGTCACTGTTTACCCTGTCTGTAACAAAGTGACAATGGACGTCAACATGAACTTGTGACAGAAGCATCGCTTGTTCTCCTCGTGGTGGCGACCTATGAGTTTGTTTTACCATAGCACTTGGTCCTCCTTGTCTGACACGTCTCGTTTCATTGTCGCCCTCGCACAAAAGCAACAACAAAAGAAGAAAAAAGAGAAAGAAAACCCCCCAGCAAAGACAACAGCAACAACAATAACAACAACAATGCAGCTACTTTCGAGAGACCTCAGAAAGGAATGGTTTGTTTTCTTCATCTTGATCAGTCCTGCCCAAGACAACTGTCTAATACGGCCACTTTTCTCCTCGACAATGGGTGGCCGTCTTACACAGGTTCGACTATTACCAAATAATGTTCCAAGACATATTTCCCAGACAATTACCTCCTGTAGATGCTCCTGTCTGTGGGTGCTCCTCCGGCTAGTCCTCCTGTCATTGGCTGGTCCTGGTGACGAAGACATGTCAATTCATACAATTGTCTTGTGTCTCTTCGGTTTCCATTTTTGTTTCAGAAAATAAAAAGTTGGTATTATATTTTTACTACTGGTTTAAAAGGACATTAATAGACATCTGTAAATACGTTTTTTATTTTTCCTTTTCAGCGAAATGCAATTAAAAGCCTTACAGCTTGAAAATCGTTTAAAAATAAATATATTTATTTTTCTAACTTAACTTCAATGTTTGATTACATTATGCTATTTGGACTGGGACATCTGACTATTTCATAGAAAGACAGAACAAAAGGGTTCGGCCATCTGTTACGTATGTTACCTAGCCAGCCAGCCTTGAGAACCTATAACACCAAGCACTCAAGTTATAAAGGAAGAGGAAGGCCACACAAAAGGTGGATTGAAGTTGTCAAGGAAGCCCGGATAAAACATAGTATCCGAACTGAAAGAGCTGCGGAGCTGGCCTACCACAGAAAACTGCATCTCCCCTCTATGCATAATGGCAACAGAGGATGAAAAAGTAAAAGAAAGTAATTGATCAATAATGTTCCAAGACCTATTTCCCAGACAAATACCTCCTGTAGATGCTCCTGTCTGTGGGTGCTCCTCCGGCTGGTCCTCCTGTCCGCGGCTGGTCCTGGTGATGAAGACATGTCAATTAATACAATCGTCTTACATCTATATAGTTTCCATTTTTCTTTAAGAAAATAAAGAGTTGATATATTTTTACTACTGGTTTAAAAGGACATTAATAAAAATCTGTCAGTAAATACGTAGGCCTCTTATTACTTTCCCTTTTTACCTAAATGTAAAAATAAAACTTTTACCTTTAAATCAAAAGAATCGATAGATATTTTTCTTTTTTCTTTTTTTGTAGGGGTTTTACGGCGCTCACAACTGCATAATGTCATATGAGCACCATGGGGTGGATGTCAGAGAAGTCTTTACAGGGAATCGGGCTTACTCTGCTCACCTCTCTGGCTTCAACAGCACAAAGTCTCTTTCGACTTTCAAAGCACCCCGGAAATAGCGGGTCACAAGAGTTTGAAAACACATTTTAAAAAAAGAGGAAAATGACGATAGTAAGGATTGGGAAAGTAAAAGCAGCAGTTCCCTGTTGTAGTTCAGGCACAGTTGTGAGCATGACATTGTTGAATCAGCCCTTTTACAATTCTACTGTACATAAGAACTGGAGTAGGATCAGACTCGCTAAATCAGCGTCCGTGAGTAACGAAGTGCTCGCTGGCACTACCCGCAAACAAGCGGACGGGTAACGAGCCATCCGCTTGTGAAGAGTAGTTCGCTACTCGATACTCATCGGACAGAGACAACAGTTCATTTAGCCAGCGAGCGGACAGGTGGATGGAGAGACTCCATACATTCAAGCAGGCAGACAGACGGACGGGGAGCGACTCCTATTGCATACTATTTACACCCTGTATGTATAGTATAAGGTTTTACGGCGCTCGCAACTGCTAAGGTCATATGAGCGCGCGAAACACAAGTTGTTCACCTCTGCGAAAGTTCACTTCACGACTGGCTAACTAATTTACTTTAAAATGCTAAAAAGTTAAAATATTCAAATCCGGTGTAAATACATTTGTGATCTAAAACAACTTTTAAGTAACAATAAAAATTTTAAATAATACCAAATTCACTCTACAACTCGCCATAAAGGCCAATGGCCTTTATAAAATTCAAAATTCTGCTGGGAACAACGACGGAAAAGATATCTTGCAATTTCTTGCATTTATAAAATTTCATTCGGATCTCTCCAAAGTCCAGACATTCGGTTAAGATGTGTCTAATGGTAAAACCTGTGTCGCATCCGACACAGAACGGCTTCTCATCTCCCTGTAGGAGGTATTTGTGGGTCAGGGCTGTGTGTCCGATGCGCAATCGAGTAAAAATGACTTCGTCTCTTCTGGAGAGGTCCGAAGGATTTCGCTGTTTTAGTTTGGGTTTTATTTCGTATAGTTTATTATTTTTCTGGTTTTCCCAGTGGCTCTCCCACAGACTGGAAGTGTACTTTTTGACTTTATTTCTAAAGTCAGTCTGTGGGAGAGTGTTTGTCGTTGATCCCAGCAGAAGGGATGAAGCTTTCTTCGACAGGTCGTCTACCTGCTCGTTTCCTCGGATGCCCACATGGATTTACACCCTGCCCCCCTCGTAAAACATTCACCCTCCTGCACCACATTGTAGCTAGGTGTTCATGCTGAAAATTGCTCTCCCCCCCCTCCCCCCCAAAAAAGGCCTTTGGAAATTTTATTTTGATTGACTGTGTAGGTGTTTTACGGCACTATCGACCCAAATTCTTTAAACTTCGCCTTCAGGTTAAATTGGAACATACACAATGTGAACCACACACGAGGTGAAAGGTTACACACATAGTGCTACGTCACCGGCCTCTCTCACTCCCTGTGGCACCGCAAGTGGCTTGAAACACTATGCCTAACTAACAAACATTTTTGTTTCAGAATATACAAGAGGGGATATAATATTTTTACTACTGGTTTAACTCTATGTCTGGACAGTGGCAGCGTCCGGCAATCGAGGTCCATAACTATGGCTGGACCGATGCGAAGTCATTACTGTATTATGGTACGGGCCGAATATAAAAAAGTATGAGCTAACAAGCCTTAAGTTTGACCCGGAAGTCAAAGATAAATGAATTCTACATCTGCGTAATGCTTTATTGATGAGTTTGACTCGAAACAAGTGGTTTTATAAACGTAATATGTTGGGTCGCATTTCCACAAACACGAGAGAATTACGCGGAAACGTGATTTTAAATCGAGTGTTAAAAGGCTAGAAAAGACATTAATAAAAACGGGTCAGGAGATATGTTTTATTAGTTTTCTTTTTCACCAAAATGCAAAAACAAGTCTTTCACCTTGAAATAAAACCAATACATGTAGATCTAGTTATTTTTCTATTTTTACTTTAATGATTAATAAATAGTGTTCCAAGACATATTTCTCAGACAAATACCTCCTGTAGATGCTCCTGTCTGTGGGTGCTCCTCCGGCTGGTCCTCCTGTCTGCGGCTGGTCCTGGTGATGAAGACATGTCAATTAATACAATCGTCTTACCTCTATACATACAGATTGTATTCTTTTTGTGAAAAAATAAACTGTCGCTAAAATATTTTTGCTACTGGTTTAAAAAGCATCAAAGACATTTTTAAAAATTTGTCCAAAAAATATGTTTCATCATTTGTCAATTAATACTATTGTCTTACGTCTATACAGTTTGCATTTTTGTTTCAAAATATAAAAAGAGTCGTTACAATATCGTTTACCACCAGTTTAAAAGGACAGAAGGTCATTAATAAAAAACCTTCTCAGTAAAAATACATTTTATCATTCTCTCTTTCCACCTAAATGCAATAATAAAACTTTTACCTTTAACTTGAAAAACTATAATAATGAACACCGAGACATATTTCCCAGACAAATACCTCCTGTAGACGTCCTGTCTGCAGGTGCTCCTCTTGCTGGTCCAGGTGGTCCTTACGGAACAATCCAGTATACACCCCACTCCAACATCATCACACTCAAACTCAAAATCAGCAGGAAGCTCTACCCACACCATTCTACCCCTGCAACCCCCCCCCCCCCTTCCCAAAAAAAAGAAAAACCTACACTGCCCCCTCAACTACCTCCCGCCATGGCCATGGCAATATCTACAAAATCCTACTCTGACTCTAACCTATCCACCTAGCTCCCTATCAACCTATCTGCCTATCTCTACAGCCCCACTGCGTCACTTCAAGCCTGAGTGTGATATACGGAAATCGTAGAAGCAAACCACTTTGATACTTGTTGGACCAGAAAAGTGAACAAGCCGTCTGATGTCACCAAACTTTGAACTGAAGGAAAGGGATAGAATTGCCTCGTCATTTTTCTAGTTCAGTGATCTCATATAGTGAAGCAGCTTCTGTACAATATCTGAAACAGTACATCATACAAAGTATTTTTCTGTCGTTTTTACAGCCCTATCCGCACAATTTCACACAAGCTTGAGAAATCAAAGCGCACAGTCAGCTGTTATAGTTGCCAGTTATCGTTCGCTGGTGTAACTGACAGAAATCCATTTCAGGGTAGCTGTGGCAGTATATTCGTCTGGCTGGTTGTCTAAGAGTGAGTGGAAGGTCCGTGCTGTCTGGGCAGGGTGTCAGCTTCTTGGGTGACTGTCAGCTGTTGGCTTCTCATGTGGGTGCTGGCTTTCTGTGAAACATAAATTTGAAGTCAAATTAGTTATTAATTAAACTTTACAGTTTAAGCAAAGAAAAGCACATCCAAGGCAATAACAATTATCAAAATGTAAGGGAAAAATAAGACAGACAGGCACAAGCTACAGGGGAAAGGAAGCGAGAAGGTTCTGTCATTGACACCCCCCACCCATCGACAATAACAAAAGGCAATATATTGGGGGGTTTTGGGGTGGGTTTTTTAAAAGTGTTTTACGGCGCTCACAACTGCATAAGGTTATATGAGCGTGCGGGACACGTTAAACTTTTTCAGTCGGTAGGAAATTTTGAAATTTGCCCGGGTGGCGGTCAAAACCTACTCTTATCGATTGTGAACCACCAAGGGATCTTTAACGTGCGCAACTTGCACACGGGCCCTCCGAGATTTGTCACCCTTGTCCGAGAAGGCTAGGTGCAGGGGTGTGGCTGAAAGACACAGAAGGAGCCAGGGAGAAGCAGTAGAAAGGCTGCAGAAAGAGTCAGAAGCCCAGAGGAGGGGACAAAGGAGGTGAGGGGGTAGGGCAGAAAGAGGAGACGAAGGCAGACGATAGAACATTGCTAGAGAGCAGGCAATGAGGTGAAACGAGACAATTTTAGAGAATAATTTTTTGAGTCGCTACCGGGACTCGAACCCGGGACCTTCGAATGAGCGGCCAACACCCTAACCTCTAGGTCACGAGGGCCCCCATATTGGTTTTTGATTGAGCATTATGTTCTATATCGCTATAGAGAAAATATGTTCATGTATTTGACACATACAGATTTTAAAAACATCAACTTTTCTTACTACTGATTAAAAGGATGGACAAACATTTATAAAAATCTGTCTGCAAAATTATGAGTTAAAAATGTTCACTTTTTTACAACTTTGGTACTATGCATTTCTTGTAGATTAAATATTTGCAAAACAAAGATCTTTCCTGGGTCAATAATATTAACAATGACTTCCTGTTGGAGCATTTAAAATATCAAATACTGGTATAAGCGTATCTTTGAATTCACCGCATTCTATCAAAATAAGCCAAGCAGTAGAAGAAACAAATTGTAGCATGTTATAAAGAAAGGACATTTTTATCCTTCTAGGAGATTTCTTCGCTTGGTTGTGTCCAATTTTTAACTGATTAAAACTTCCATTATTCCATTTCCAATATTAGTGTGACAAGAAAAAGATGAAAACAACCTATTGAAGGAGAGGTTCCACCTTCAGTGACGCGAAGCAACCAATATCATAAATTGTTCTCAGTTGAATTGATTTAACAAGCAAATATTCAGGTCTTAGGTTAATTTTAAGACTCATTACTCGACATGACCAGTAGCATTTTTTGAGAGACAGCTAAATACAAACATGTAATTTGAAGTTGAACTCAAAACTCACCAATTATTGGTACTTTTTAATTTCTAAAGTAGTAACTGAGTTAATGTCCTAATAGGGGAGGTCTGTTAATAGGGGGGGGGGAGGGAGAGAGAGAGAAAGAAAGAGAGAGAAAGAGAGAGAGAGAGAGAGAGAGAGAGAGAGAGAGAGAGAGAGAGAGAGAGAGAGAGAGTGATTGCTCTGGCTTAAATTAAGAGTCGCAAAGGTGGTTGCTGGATGTGGAATACTGAAAATAGAAATTACTAAATCTGAAGGAACTAGGAGGAAGGGGTTGTTGGGGAGGGCAGTTTGAGTAGAAAGAGTGCACAGGAAATGCAAGGGAGAGGGAAACAACGGAACTAGGGACAGGGGAATGAAATGACCTTTCAGTACGCACAATATGTACGATGAGGGGGAATGGGGAGAGACGAAGAATGAGGACTTGATAATAAGAATTGGAATACGGTTCAATATCAAGAAATACGAAAACAAATAACATACCTGAATATTTGCTAAGATATAATGGAATCTAAATCTCAATGTGTCGCATGATCGCCTCGGTTTCATTAGCACAGGAGACGGGAAGGCAGTGTCCAATGTAGTTTTACTACTGGAATCACAAGTACCTGAAATGTCGCCAGCTTCGAACTGATTAATTTCTGCTCAAAGTGCCTGAAGAGAACACGAACTGAATTGTATTCACCAAGTAGCTGTCTGCTGATTGGCTGTTGGATCTCCGATTTCTACTCATAAGTCACTTTTTTTTAAAGTTTAGAGTAGGCTTACTGTAAACGAGGCGTCACAAAAGGCGTCGACTAACATAGCCAGGAAGACAACGTTGTTGGTTGTTTTTGCCCCCCCCCCCCCCCCCCCACATCTAAACAACAAAACGTTT